TCTAAATTTTTATTTTTTCAAAGATAAGTCTTACTATATTGCCCAGGCTGGTCAGGACTCTTGATTGCATGTAATGAAAACGCAACCCAACCTTTCAACCTGCTTCTCTGTCAGTCCTCCCAGTCTCTGTAAATGGCAACTCCATCCTTCAAGTTGCCCAAGCCGCAAATCTCAAAGTTAACCTTGCTTTCTCTCTTTTATCTCATAGCCAATCTGAAGGCAAATCATGTGGGCTGAAAATATATCCAAATTTAATCACTTCTCACCACTTGCACTTTCCACCATAGTTCAAGCAATCATCATCTCTCAATATCTTCTGACTGGTCTCCAGGTTTATACCCCTATCCCCTAGAGAATTTACTTCACAGCAGCCAAGGCTTTTAAACACAAAACATGAATCAGAAAGCTGGGCACAGTGGCATGCACCTGTAATCTCAGCTACTTGGGAAGCTGCAGTGTGCTTTGATTGTATCTTTAAAGAGCTGCTACACTCCAACCTGGGCAATATAGCAAGACTCTATCTCTTAAAACACACACACACACACACACACACACACACACACACACACACACAGAGGCGTCACTTTGCTTATCCATCCAATTTAGAATAAAAACCTAAGTCCTAAAAATGGCCTATAGGGCCTTCTATGTAATCTGATTCTGTTTTCTCTCTGATTTCATATCCTACTATTTATCTTGCTTACTCCATTCTAACCATACCACTGATCTCCTTGTTCCTTGAATATGCCAGGTGCATTTCTGCCTCAAAGCCCTTGTACTTGCTGTTCTCTCTGCTGAGAATGCTCTTCCCCAGATGTGGCTTGCTTGCCCACTGTCACCTTTTGGTTTTTTGGAGACAAGGCCTGGCTCTATTGCCCAGACTAGTGTGCATTGGTGCTATCTCGGCTCACTGCAACCTTCACCTCCTGAGCTCAAGCCATCCTCCCATCTCAGCCTCCCAAGTAGCTGGGATTACAGGCGTGCACCACTACACTTGGCTAATTTTTGTATTTTTTTTGTAGAGATGAGGTCTTGCCATATTGCTCATGCTGGTCTTTTTTTTTTTTTTTTTTTTTTTTTTTGAGACGGAGTTTCACTCTTGTTACCCAGGCTGGAGTGCAATGGCGTGATCTCGGCTCACCGCAACCTCCGCCTCCTGGGTTCAGGCAATTCTCCTGCCTCAGCCTCCTGAGTCGCTGGGATTACAGGCACGCGCCACCATGCCCAGCTAATTTTTTGTATTTTTAGTAGAGACGGGGTTTCACCATGTTGGCCAGGATGGTCTCGATCTCTTGACCTCGTGATCCACCCGCCTCGGCCTCCCAAAGTGCTGGGATTACAGGCTTGAGCCACCGCGCCCGGCCCAATTTTTTGTAGTTTTAGTAGAGATGGGGTTTCACCGTGTTGACCAGGATGGTCTCGACCTCTTGACCTCGTGATCCACCCGCCTCGGCCTCCCTAAGTGCTGGGATTACAGGCGTGAGCCACCGCGCCCGGCCTTGCTCATGCTGGTCTTAAACATTGTGAGCTCAAGCAATCTACCTGCCTCAGCCTCACAAAGTGTTGGGATTACAGGTATGAGCCACTGTGGCCAGCCCCCACCACCTTTGTGAGGTCTTCCCTGACTGTCCTATTTAAAATTATAATAACCACCAGGTGCAGTAGCTCACCTCTAGTAACCACCATTTTACTTTCTGTCTTCATGAATTTGACTACTCTAGGTACCTAATGTAAGTGGAATAATACAATATTTGTCCTTTCATGACTGGCTTATTTCACTTACCATAATATTTTCAAGGCTCATTCATGTTATAGCATGTATCAGAACTTCATTCCTCTGTAAGCCTGAATAATATTTTTCATTGTATCGCATTTTCCTTATCCATTCATTTTTTTGATAGACATTTGCTTGTTTCCCCCTTTTGGCTATTGTAAATAGTGCTGCTATGAATATTGGTATAGGATTATCTATTTGAGCTCCTGTTTTAAATTCTTTTAGCTTGGAATGGAATCACTGAATCATATGGTAATTTTGTTTTTAACTTTTTGAGGAACTGCCAAATTGTTTTCCACAGTGGCTGCATCAGTTTACATTCCCACTAGCAATGCACAAAGGTTTACATTTCTCCACATCTCACCAACATTTGTAATTTTCTGTTTCTTTCATACTAGCATTCTAGTAAGCGTGACCTGGTGCATCATTTGGTTTTGATTTGTGTGTCCCTAACCACTAATAATGTGGTGCATCTTTTCATGTGCTTGTTGCATATCTTCTTTGGAGAAATGTTCAAGTCCTTTGCTACCCCAATCCTTTTTAAATTTGAGACAAAGTCTCACTCTGTTGCCTAGGCTAGAGTGCAGTGGTGCATTCACAGTTTCTATGTGACAGGAATTTAGCAGCAGCTTGCTGACTGGTTCTAGCTCGGGGGTTTTTCATGAGATTCAGTCTGATGTGAGCTGCTACTGGAGTCATCTGAAGGCTTGCCTAGGGTTGAAGGATTTGCTTTTGAGGTGGCTCATTGACATGGTTGTCAAGTTGGTTCTGAATGTTGACGGGAGGCCTTAGTTCTTTTCCTTCACAGAGCTGTTCACACACGGTGGCTGCCTTCCCCTAAAGCATGCAGTCTAAGAAAACAAGGCAAAAACTGCAATGACCTGGTCTCAGAGGTTATAACTGGTCCCTATATATATACATATTTTTGAAATGGAGTCTTGCTCTGTAGCCCAGGCTGGAGTGCAGTGGCGTGATCAGCTCACTGAAACCTCTGCCTCCTGGGTTCAAGCAATTCTCCTGTCTCAGCCTCCCGAGTACCTGGGACTACAGGCACACGTCACTACTCCTGGCTAATTTTTGTATTTTCAGTAGAGACAGGTTTCACCGTGTTGGCCAGGCTGTTCTCAAACTCCTGACCTCAGGTGATACACCTGCCTCAGCCTCCCAAGGGGCTGGGATTACAGGCGTGAGCCACCACGCCCAGCCATAATTGGTCACTTTTACCATACTTTATTGGTCACACAGACAAGCCTTATTCGACGTAGGAGAGGCTACACATGGATACATAAATGAATAACAGGCAAAAAGGATCATTGCGGGTCAAAAGCAAGGATCACTCAGGGTCAAATCAGAGAATGGTTACCACATGTAGCCCGTGCCTAGAACAATGCCTGGTATAATATGTTCAAAAAATGTTTGATGAGTACATGAGTCCTTCCTTCTTTCCTTTTTCCTTTCCTCCTTCCCTCCTTCCTTTGAAGGTTATAAGAGTGGTCAAAGCATTAAAGAAAGATTAGAACAGCAAAGGCTTAGGAAAGATAGGAACCAGGGATTTTAATATCCCCAGGATGTTCTCCATCTCATTTAGCGTCTCTGAGTATAGCCAGGATCTCCTTAGAGTTTCATCCTTAGAGCTTCATAATGAGAGGGCAAAGGGCTTTTACTTTTCCAGCTCTGGTTTGAAAAACCCCAAAGCAGGATTCTCCCAGGCCTAATCCCTTGAATCAATCAGTATGATCAGAGAGTTAAGGTAATATGATTGGCTTCATTTGAGTCAGGCAACTATACCTGTTAATAGAAAAAGATGGAAGAGGGTGTGGACAATAAAAATAGTACAACTCTCTCAGCCATGCTAAGCACTCCCCTTTCTATACTTTCCCACTATATTATATTTTGGTATAACAGGACATATAATGTTATTGTTCATTTACTTGTTCATATGTTTGTTTTCTGTACTAGAGTATACATTCTTACACTAGAGTATACACAGGTATCACATTTTTGTAACTCCAAATGATACAGGTGTTGTAGTCAAGAGAGACTCATGCTTGCATTTTTGCTTTTTCCTTTTACCAACAATGTGACTTTGGATCAGGCATAGCTTACATATCTTTTAAATGGGCCAAATAATAGTTGCCTCACGAGGAAGCACATAACATTACATAACATTATTTCTGACATGTTGTAGGAGCTGAAAACGTTAGTGTCATTCCTCTTAGGAAAGTGGCTGACACAGTTGAATATCTTTAATATATTTGTGAATAAATGAAGGAGTAAATAAATGAAGCATTCTTAGTGACTGGCTTGGAGATTCACTTATAAATGGAGATAACAATAGGATTATGATGTAGATTAAGTGAGATGATAGATGAAAAGTGCTTCCACAGTGCACAGCTACCGTAAATGCTTTAAAAGCACAAGCCATCACCAACATGGGGGTGTGCGCCTATAGTACCAGCCACTTAAGCGGCTGAGGCATGAGGATCTCTGGAGCCCAAGAGTTCAAGGCCAGCCTGGGAAACATAGTGAGACCCTATCTTTAAAAAAACAAAACAAAATCCAAGCTATCATGAGAGAGGCAATTCTTTAAAACCAATATATCAGATCTAGAAAAGTACTGAAGAAGTGGCTTTCTCTCTATTTAGGTACCACTCACAAGGTATATTATTTGCTGCTGAATTGCACAGTAAACTCTCAATAGCTCCTGAGTAACAGAACTGTAACATTCATTAATAGAACACAATAGCGTGCAGAATACCAAAACCTCAGGTCAGGAGTGAAAAAAAAAAAAAAAAAAAGCCCAAGAGGAAAGTTCTACCAAATTAACAATTTTGTCTAGTGCCAGAACACACCTAATTATAGAAGTTTCTAGCCAATGCCTCAGCATCGACACTCAAACACAAAAACAATTATAATGTCATTCTGAGATAAGTCATGGAAGGAAAGAAGAAGATGGAAGACAGGAAGAAGGGAGGGAGAGACACAGGGAGGGGAGAAAAGAAGGGAAGGAATGAGAAACCAAAATCAATTAGCATACATAAGACCAAAAGCTCTGTTTTCAGCATTCTTAGTCCTCCACATTCCCAGCTCCCTACTACCTAACAAATGTATAAGGTGGAACTGAAAGGGTGTTAAATGGGTGGATCCCAGTGGCAATGTCGTTAACACTCCCTATGAGTCAGCTATAAATTCAATTCAAATCCCCAGTCTCCCTGTCTTCTCTGCTTATCATGGTTACCACCAAAATGACTGCTGCCTTTAGAAACCCTAGTGGAAAACAGGTAAATGTGTAAAACAATGTTTGATTTTATATTAAAGCTTACAAAAACGTAATTGCTGTAATAGAAAGTATTTTGTTACTCAGCTAGGATTTGTATATTTCGCTTAATCTTCAAAACACAGGAACAGCTTGTTAACATTTCTTCAGTTTTATTTTAAGAATGTTATCTCATTGTATTGCGGCCATTCGAGTGATGAACAAAATTTATGAAGTGTTAGGTTTAATTCCACACCTGCAAGAAAGGTATTTTAGTAACTGGTTTTTTGTAATTCAACACTTGCCACAATTCTCTCCTTGCTGTAATTGGCTGCTGTTTATGTTTCTCTGAATACACATTCACAGAGGAGAACTAACGTGTCTGTATGGGCTTCAAATTTCTCATATGGAGGAAAAGAAAATGACTGGTTACCATAGCATTTGTTCACAAACTCTATTTGGTGGCAATTTTGATGGTTGCATGGCCTTTCAACGATGATTTCAGAAGTGTTGCCTCCCATCGTGTTTGGGAACGCAGTTCATAATAAAAGCTACATTAATTTTTCTGTAAAGTATCATGTTCCTAAAATAGCTTGCTTGTTTTTTAGTTTTTGGTTTTTTCTTTTCTATTTTTTTTTTTTTTGGTGGTGGTGGGAGAAGACTGCTAATTAACGTTAACTAATGTTTGTACCTGGCTTTAATTAGACCATTTTACAGGAAATAAAAACACATCTCATGTCACATCTATGATTGGAACTCTCATTCTTATTTGCTTGATGAAGAGACTGAAGCTTCAGAGGTTAAAAGCCAGACAATTAGCAGGTGTCAAAGTCAGGATTCTTCTAATTCATTCTTTATTATTTATCTGTCTTTTTATTTTTGCACATTGGTGCTTTGTGGCTTTGGAAAATAGCAATTACAATAGCTACTATTTTTGAATACTTGTTATATGCATGGTATATATTATTCCACTTAACTGTCACTTCAGTGCTTAAGTAGATATTTTATCTCCAGTTTATGGATGAGAAGATTGGAGTTCAAAGAACTCAAAAGGGTTGATCACATTTTTGGCAAGAACACTTGAAATTTTAGGTCACAGTCTAGTCACTTGCATCAGTGTAGAAGTTACTAGCTCCCAGATAATTGGACAGTTTAAGTGGAATACTAACTCTAGTTCCACCAGATTTTACCTTGCTTTAAAACAAGTATTTTGGAAAGTCAAGAAAAGAATGAACTTCTCCTTTTGGTGGGTAGGGTAGAAATTAGCACACTATGGATGTCCCATTCTGGTGGCACAATTTCAGAAGTTTTTTGGGCTGACAGTGTTAATGTGTAGTATCACATACAGAAATGATGTCTGAGCTCGAGAGCCAGAGAGCTTGTTCTTTCCCACAATCATGGCAGATCTAGTCTCTACCTGTGCACAAGTATCAAGAGATTGGCTGGGCGCGGTGGCTCACACCTGTAATCCTAGCACTTTGGGAGGCCGAGGTGGGTGGATCACCTGAGGTCAGGAGTTCAAGACCAGCCTGGCCATCATGGTGAAACTCCATCTTTTAAATAAATAAATAAAAATAAAAAAGATATAAAAGCAAGAGATTAACAGAATTGCATGTCTCTTAACAATGTTATTTCCTAAGATGATGTCGGGGTCTTCTAAAGAATGAATATGGTGGAGGTAAAGTAGTAAAGTGGTGAAGTTGAAGCTTTTTTTTTTTTTTGAGACAGGATCTTGCTCTGTTGCCCAGGCTGCAGTGCAATGGCATGATCTTGGCTCACTGCAACCTCTGCCTCCTGGGCTCAAGTGATCTTCCCATCTCAGCTTCCCTAGTAGCTGGGACTACAGGTGCATGCCACCATGCCCTGCAAAGTTAAAGCTATTCTTATAACTCCAGTGCATGGTAGCCATAGCTTCTTATTTGAGTACCTTTCAGATTCGTATACTAGAAAGTAATGAGCCTGGTAAGATAGGCTGTCACTATTTCACTGTGTGCCTTCATTTAAAAAAAAAAAGTTTTGAACATTAGTAGGAGTTGAAATAGAGTGTTATGTCTCCTTTTTCCTTTTTTTTTTTTTTTTTTTTGAGACGGAGTTTCACTCATGTTACCCAGGCTGGAGTGCAATGGCGCGATCTCGGCTCACCGCAACCTCCGCCTCCTGGGTTCAGGCAATTCTCCTGCCTCAGCCTCCTGAGTAGTTGGGATTACAGGCACGCACCACCATGCCCAGCTAATTTTTTGTATTTTTAGTAGAGACGGGGTTTCACCATGTTGACCAGGATGGTCTCGATCTTTTGACCTCGTGATCCACCCGCCTCTGCCTCCCAAAGTGCTGGGATTACAGGCTTGAGCCACCGCGCCCGGCCTCCTTTTTCTTTAATAGTGTTACTAATAGGACTTTCTGTTGGGTGGAAATGTTCTATATCTGTGCTGTTAGACAGTAGCCACTAGCCACATGTGCTATTACTGAGCACTTGAAATATGTGAATGTGACTATGAAACTGAACTTTTAATTTATTTATTTTTGAGACAGGGCCTCATTCTGGCACATAGGCTGGAGTGCAGGGGCGTGATCTCAACTCACTGGAACCTCCACCTCCTGGGCTCAAGTGACCCTCCCACTGCCGTCTCCAGAATAGCTACAGTTGTGCCACCACACCTGGCTAAGTTTTTATTTTTATTTTTGTAGAGATGGGGTCTGACTATGTTGCTCAGGCTGGCCTCAAACTCTTGGCCTCAAGTGATTCTCTTGTCTTGGCCTCCCAAAGTACTGGGATTACACGCATGAGCCACCATGACTGGCTTATTTTAACTTTAAATGTAAATAGTCACATGTGGCTATTGTCTCTAGTGGCTGCTGTATTGGACACTGCAATCCTAGAATGTACCTGAGATGCTCTGGTTCTCTGAAAAAGCTCCAAATACCAGGTACCCAGGGTGAGGGAGGAATATTGCTCACCAGTGGGTTTGACTTCTCTGGAGAGTCCTCCTTTGTACCTTGGGTTGTTTTTGCCTTTCAGAGGAATATCTCCTTTGATTTCCTTTCTGTGAGCAATGGAGCTGACTTAAACACCGTTGGCAGTTTAGAGCATGGTGTTTCAGGGTTTAATCCTTGCTAGGTTTAGAGGGGTTCCTCTCCCAGACAGTGATCCAAATCAATGCTAAGAGTGTACAGTATTAGAACATAGAAAACTTTGAATTACTCACTGAATTTACCACAAATAAAACTATTTGATAAGGGTGCTACTGCCCACTGCACCCTGCATCCTCCATCTTCTACCCCACATGTGGAGTTCCAGGATATGAGCGGTAGAGTGGCAGGAGCTGGAGCAGAGGTGGTGTTGGGTGAAATTCATACGGTGGAATTTCACTTATGCAAATGCTCAAGCATTTGTGAGAGGTCAGAATTAGCTCTTTCTTTGGTTAGAATGAGCTATTTCAGTGAGATGTTACAGTGTAAGCATTTTCACCAAATAAACTGGTATGCTCAGGGTGAGTGAAAGAAAGGGGTAAATCAGGGTTAGTGCTGGAGGATCAGAGCTAATGATACAAGCTTCTCTCCTCAGGCCAATGCATCTGAGATACATCTCAGGCACTTAAGCACAGCATTGCTAAGTTAATATAAATTATATACACATACATAGACAAATATACAAAAGCATATAATATAAATATTACATATGTAAATATAAATAGTATCACTAAAATCAACACCAGGCTTGTTTTTAATAATTCATTCAAAATACGTTGAACAGCTACCGCACAAAGTGCTGGGACTACTGGAGAAGCTTAAGACAAAACTACGGGGTGTGATAGTGTGTGCCTGTAGTCCCAGCCACTCAAGAAACTGAGGCAGAAGGATGGCTTGAATCCAGGAGTCCAAGTCCAGCCTGAGCAACATAGTGAGACCCAGTCTTTTAAAATAATGAAATAAAATGAAACCACAAACCTCAAACAAAAAGACAAAATATGATTTCAATCATTGTGAAATGATTGATCTAGTAGATGAGTAATGCATATAAACCAAAATATTACAGTTTCAGAGAAGTGCTATAGGGCCTAATGTTTAACTACTTCTGGCATTCAACTGACTGTGTTCAAAGCTCTGCCACCATTTTCCAGGGATATAAACTGAGGCAAGTTATTTGGTATTTACTAAATTTCAGCTTCTTCATATGCAAGGGGGTTATGATAATAATACCTACCCCATGAGGACAATATGAGGATTAAACAAAATAGTGTATGCATAGCCTTAGCCAATACCCATACATGTTGAGTGCTCAACAAGGTGTTAGCTATTAGATTTTAAAATTTTATTTATTTTTTATAATTTTTTTTTTTGAGACAGAGTCTCGGCTCTGTAGCATCCAGGATGGAGTACAGTGGCGGTCTTGGCTCACTGCAACCTCCACCTCCTGGGTTCAAGCAATTCTCTGCCTCAGCCTCTTAAGTAGCTGAGATTACAGGCTCCTGCCACCAAGCCTGGCTAATTTTTTTGTACTTTTAGTAGAGATGGGATTTCACCATCTTGGACAGGCTGGTCTTGAACTCCTGACCTTGTGATCCACCCGCCTTGGCCTCCCAAAGTACTGGGATTACAGGAGTTTTTTTTTTTTTTTTTTTTTTTTTTTGCGATGGAGTCTCTCACTTACTTTGTTGCCCAGGCTGGAGTGCAATGGCTCGATCTCGGCTTACTGCAACCTCCACCCTCCCCCTGCCCCCTCCCCTGGGGGTTCAAGCCATTCTCCTATCTCAGTCTCCCCAGGAGCTGGGATTATTGGTGTATGCCACCATGCCCAGCTATTTTTTTTTTTTCCTATGGTACTTTAGTAGAGACGGGATTTCACCATGTTACCCAGGCTGGTCTCGAACTCCTGAGCTCAGGCAGTCCACCCGCCTTGGCCTCCCCAAGTGCAAGGATTACAGGCATGAGCCACAGGGCCTGGCGACTTTTTATTTTATTTTATTTTTAAAGTGATTTATTTATTTAGAGAGAGAGAAACAGGAGGAGAGAGAAAGAAACTAA